GTTGTTGTGGGGAAGCAGAGAAGGTCACATCATTGTAACTAGGATGGAAGGAGCATGGAAGAGAGGGAGGGGAGAGAGACAGAGAGACAGAGAGAGAGATGGGAGGAGGGAGAGACATAGAGGAGAGAGGGACGGGGAGAGAGAGAGGGAGAGAGAGAGAGAGAGAGAGAGAGAGAGAGAGCCTGCACTAGTGACCTTTCCTTTCTTCTTTTGTTCCATTTGGCCCCCAGCATAAGGAGTGGTGCTGCCCCTACTCAGGGTGGCACTCCCCCTTGGTTTATCTTTCCTGGAAATATCCACATGGGCAGGAGAGATGTGCTATACTAATCTTCCAGGCCAGTCAAATTGACAATCAAGATTCACCATCACAGGTGCTAATAGGTGTTGATAATGAGTAAGTGCATGAGAAGATTCTCAAAATCAGTCAACAGAGAAATGCAAATTAAATAGCTGTAATTAAAAATAAAGAATTTTTGAATGTTGGGGAAGTCCTGTGCATTTGTCAATAAAGAATAAAGCACTGTCTGGCCAATAGGGAATCTAGATAGGAGGGACTAGGAATCCAGGAGGATTCTGGGAAGGAGAAACACAGGAAAGTCAACATGTAGCCGCCATGGGGTAGGAGCCCGGAACTATTCTCCGGTAAGACACATACTTAGGTTAACAATTATGGGGTAATTACTTAAAGTAGAGCTAGCCAGTAAGAGACAAGCAAGGCCAACAGCTTCATAATTAATATAGCCTCCTGTGTGTTTATTTGGGACTTATGCGGATCTAGAACCAGGCGGGCGGGAAAGCTTCTCTCAAAGAAAAAAGCTTCTCTTAACATTTGAAAAATTTAAATTACATTTAAAAAATGTGTGTGTGTGTGTGTGTGTGTGTGTGTGTGTGTGTGTGTGTGTGTATGCACCATGACACCCATGTGGAGCTCAGAGGACAGTTTGTGGGAGTGAATTCTTTTCTTCTACCATGTGTCCAGATGCTTGCTAAGTGCTGCTCAGAATCCATGAGGAATGGTTACACCAGGGATTTCAAAGAGCTGTGTGGCCCAGACGGGTTCTGTTTGCTCATCTGTGAAATGGTTCTCCTGTATTGGGCTGTCCGAGGAGGAGATCGCCAAGCACAGAGGCTGTGTTCAGACAGCCAGTGGTCAGGTGTCCCCTCCCTCCTCCCTCCCTCCCTCCCTCCCTCCCTCCCTCCCTCCCTCCCTCCCTCCCAGCTTCCTTCCGTCTCCAGTTTTTTCTTCACCTTGGCTGTGATTATTATTATTATTATTATTACTATTGAAGGCTAGCATACAGAGGAAGAGGTTTAAGTTGGGTGTAGTAGCACTCGTCTTTAATCCCAGCACTCAGGAGGCAGAGGCAGGTAGATCTCTGTGAGTTTGAGGCCGGCCTGGGCTACAGACTGAGTTCCAGGACAGCCAAGGCTACATAGAAAGACCCTGACTGAGCAAACCAAAACACCAAAACACAACAAAAAAAAGGAGAGGGTTCCACTGTGGGCAATCTCAAAGTGCCCCTCATTGTCTTAGGCCCCTCCCCCATTTCCGGCTCCTTCCTTCTCCCTCTCTCTGGCCTCTGCCTCCTTCTTCCACAACACACATATATTCCATTGCCTTCTCCTCCCTATAGCTGCCTTCCTTCCTCTCACAGTTTCGCCTCTGTTTTTATGTCCTGCTTCATGGGGGTGTGAGTCTGTATTTACTGACATTCCTCACATGCGAGATAAACATGGTGTTTGAATGTACTGTACAGTTTCTGTCAACTTGACACAAAGCAGACCACCTGGAAGAGGGACCTCAATTCAGGAATTGCCACCATCAGATTAGCCCGTGGGCGTGTCTGTGGGGCATGATTTTGATCCACGATTGACATAAGAAGGCCCAGGCCACTGTATGCTTTGCCATCCCTAGACAGGTGGGCCTGGGGTGTACCAGAGGAAGTCAGCCAGGGAACAGTGTTCCTCATGGGCTCCGTTTCAGTTCCTGCCTCCAAGTTACGGCTTGAGTTCCTGCCCTGACCTCCTTTAATGATGTGGGGTGGGGTGCTGGTGGAGAAATGGGTGACCGTTGGTGGAGCTCTCCTGGCCTCTCTCTGAACCCAATTCAGCCTTAAGGTTTCCTTTCCCAGCTTTCTGGACACTGCTGCCCCCTGGTGACCTAGACGGGTATAGGACAAGCCAAGGGTAGAAGTGGGAGCCATTGGATGAAAGAAAGGTGGACCAGGTCAGTCTTCTCCAAGGAGCAGAGACTATGAGGAAGAGGATGCACGATTTCATTCAGGGGTTGGTGAGAGGATAAAAGGAGTGATGATCGAAAGATCTGAATGCCTGGTGTTCACACCTCGGTGAGTTGATTCCACCACTATCCTGGGAAGGTCACCAGGATGAGGTACTTGCTCACGGCCAGACACGGTGCTGGAGACATGCCCTGTGGCTTGCTGGCACACTCTGTGGCTCCACTTCAGGGAGGACAGAGGAGCCCAGGGAGTGCAGGCACAGTCCTGCTGAGTCTAGGCATCTGGACCTTGTCTTAGAGGCATTACGCCCAGAGCCTGCTCGGAGGTGGAGGAGTGGACATGGCCTGCGTGGACAGGAGCAGGCTTGCTGGGAAGCAGTGGGTGGCGCAGCCTTCAAGGCTGGACCCTCAGTCTTTGACAAGCATCTAAAGCTGCACATTTGGGCTGGAGTGGGAGAGGGGCGTCCCTCTTTAAGTTCTCAACCCCGTCGGGAAGGTTTGCTTTCAGAATCCTTTTAAGGGCATCTTAAGACCAGTTTTTGTGATATTTTCTGACCTGATGTTATGGACAAATGGCTTAACCTCAAAAAGCACAAACGTGAACTCAGCCTTTCTGCCTCCCTCCAGCTCCAGCCTTTGCCTAGTTCCCCCGAGCCATCAGGGCACTGGGTTCTAATGTCTGCTTTCACTACATTGGTGCACACCCAGCCTGCACAGGGAGGGCTCTCTTCTCTCACGAGTGTCTCACCCTGCACTCTGTGGTGGGGCTGGCTTTTCCTCTTAGGAGTACATCACTTAGCTGTGTCATCCATCACAAGGCGCTCCACGATGCCTTTGTGCCTTGGTGTCCTCGGAGGGTGTGTCTCACACAGCCTCCTCTGGTTCCGGGTATTTCTGGCTTTCTTGTGTGCGATCACATACGGGATTAGAGGGAGCAGCTGTGGATCCCAGCACCCTTGACATTACACTCGTGGGCCGGAGTAAGTGAAAGGGGAACCAAGGCAATGGGTGGCTGGACCAGAAGGCATGTGCATGGCCATTTTAGTGGACACCGCCAGCTGCCTTCTACAGTAGCCGGGCCAAGTCTCACTCCTTTGTGGAAGGCTAGGAGAGCAGACACCTGTGCAGTCACCGTTCTGCCTCTCTGAAAAATGGCGTCTTCGAGATGTGCCGTCATGATTTGGGTTTCCTGTGGGATGACCTGCTCTGCTCTCCTATGCTGTGGGAAGCAGACCTCGTCCTTCAAGAACAAACAAGTGGCAGGAAGGACGGTGGATCTGCACCCATAGGTACCCGTGAGCTGGGCGTGAGGATGGCCCTGCCTGCTCAGAGCGACGGGGCTGTGATACACGACTGCTTTTGTTTCCATGTTCCCACTCTATTGGTTACTTTCTAAGCCTTGGATTCCTTGTTTAAGAGAGCTCTGGGGCCGGGTGTTGGTGGTGCACATCTTTACTTCCAGCACTCAGGAGGCAGAGGCAGGAGGATCTCTGAGTTCGAGACCAGCCTGGTCTACAAAAGCTTGTTCCAGGACATTCTCCAAAGCCACAGAGAAACCCTGTCTCGAACTGCCCCCCCCCAAAAGAGAGCTCTGGGGAGGATGGATTTAGTGTTCGGTGTTAAATGGCTGGCCTAGTTTCTTGCTCCAACAGTGTGTTTAGTACATGTCTGTTGAATGAGTATGTAATGAGCAGGACGATCTTAGGCACTTATGTCTCTAAACCATTTTCACACACTGCCTTGCTGAAGCCTCACACTGACACCATGGAGACTACTCTTATCCCCTTTCACAGATGCAAAGACTGAGGCACAGAGACTGCTGGTTCTCACCTGTGGCTATAGCTGGGCAGGGATGCAGGTGGCATTTGTGACTTTGTCCTTACACATCTCACATCTGTCTTAGGAGACAGATGTCAAGATCCGTCCAATCCAGCCACGTGTTCCTGGGGACAGCCCTCTCCCACTCCAGGAACAGAAAACAGTTGTCATTTCGTCATGCTCATGGGTTCTGAGGGTCAGGAGCCCAGACAGGACAGGAGGGCAGTCTCACTGGCGAGACTCCAAGCTGGGGGCTGGAACCATCAACCTGGAGGAGCTACTGCCCAACTGCCTGCTCCCAGGGCACACCAGTGTGTGTGTCTGCTCTGCCTAAGGAGAAGGGCTGTGGGGAAAGCCAGAATCGTGGGGTAGGCTGAGTGATGGAGGCCCGGGACAGGAACAGCAGCCTCACAGTTGGGCCTGTGGTCCATGCCCCTGAGGCTGGAAGTTGGTATGAGGCCAGGTCTTTGGGCCCTTTGTATAAAGTGACTCCACACATCCTCCTTCATGCCTTTTGCTCCTTGGGCTTGGAGAGAGCTCTGACCAATGGGCTGTGGATGGATGTTTTGACCCTCCTCCTAGACCGTCTTCTTTGCAAAGGGCCTTTCTCACAATCAGAGGCGACTGAGCATACAGCTGGAAGAGGCCCAGGTCTTTATTACGGGTTTACACAGTAGAAAACCCGTAATGCATTTTGTACTGAGTGGATGGAACTGATGGATCTGGACGATTCTCTCTTCTGTAAGCTGACTGACAGGGTTGTGTGTACATGCAGGCGATAAAGGTTGTGAAAATTCAGGGAGGAGGGAGGGAGACAGAAAAATGTGAATTACTATGGTCTCTTCTGAAGGGAAGAATCAAAAGACCTGAAACACAATGATACGGCTCTTGGTACCGCTACCACACGCCAGACCCTAACTAGCACGGGACGCCATCACCACCATCACTTTAATTTTTATTGTTAGAATGCACATTTCCAAGTCAGAAGGGTCCCACGGGATGAATGAAACTTTATTTAAACTAGCTGGGATATTCACGGTCGCCTGGGGCTGGTGTCTGCCGAGGTCAGTCACTACTGTTCTCCTGGATGTTGACTGTTGTCTTCTGAGTCATGTTTCTTTTCGGGCTTGGAGTGGCCTGGGGCCTGGGTCTGGAGTCTAGACATCGTGTGCTGCTGTGAAGACCATTCCACTGAAGTCACTGTTCAGTTCTCTCCCGGTCCTCCAAGGCAGCAACACGCCTCCATGTTCAGAATGGGCAGCAAACAGGCTGGCAGTTCCTGACTGAGTCACACCCTCTAGTGACTGCATGTGGGAATAACAGGCAGCCCATGGTGAACGGTCTGGTGGAGGTGGGGACAGGGTAGTTGGTAAATCAGGCCTGGTACAGGCCAGCAGGAATGGGTTAGGAGGGGCAAAGTGTCACTCTCTGTTACTAGAACATCAGTGAGGGGCCAAACAACCTCACCGGCCTTCTCCATGACTCCAGAAATGGAGCATTTCTGAACTTTCCCAGCTTTGCCTGCAAGAGGCATTCAGGTGATGAGCTCCTGATGGCATGCTGCTTCCCTTACCAGGAAGGTGTGGGAGATGGGCCACGAAAGCATAGCAGTAGAAGAAGGATGCCTGAAGCCCTAGGTTATAGTGGGGTCTCTGGGAGAACTATTTAAACCCGAAAATACCCAGAGCAACCAGTTAGGGGCAGACTATCAGGTGCCCCACCCCACAGGGGAAAGAACATGGTTAGATGATTGCAGATCAGAGACCTCCCACTCTTGTCCTGCAACAACTATGGAATTTAGAGCCTCCAGTGGCTTAGGGTTTGATAACACCAGACAGAACATATCTGTATCTCCTATCTATGCACAGACTCAGACCTTTGTGCTGTGGGGTCAGAGCTGGAGCTGTGGCCTTCAAGCCAGACTCTGGAACTCAGCGTGCCCTTCCTCCCAACTCAGCCTAAAGTAAGTTCACTTGTCTCATTTGCTTCTCAGCTTGTTCATAATGGATAGGTCTGGGGTGGAGCCCTGAAGCTTTAAAAACGCTCTTAGAGCCCAGCACGTGGCTGGACCTTCCGGATGTTGGTGATGGGATGAGTGTAGCCTTTCATTCATCAAAGGAGTAACGGAAGCCCCAAAGGGCAGATGGCTTGGCCCAGACTCACAGCTAACTGCTCACAGGCTGAGCTTACACCAGGTTTATAGTAGCCCAGGTTATGACCATGACTCAGACTGTGTTCTTTCTGGTGACTCTAGGCTTCTAAGAAGTCAAATAGGGCACAAATGGGGACCAGGGCTATAAGTGATTCAGGAGGCTGAGGGTCTGCTAGGATATGTCATCTTTTGCCTCTGGCTGAATCTCAGGTGAGTGTTCTCTCTGTCTCTGTCTCTCTCTCTGTGTGTGTGTCTCTCTGTGTGTGTGCATGCGCGCACGCCTGCTGTGTACAAGTGTGTAGAGGTCAGAGGATAACCTCAGGTGTGGTTCGTCAGGTTCTACCTATCTTTTGTGAGACAAGACTCCTTACTGACCTGGAGCTTGCTTCTTGGGGCAGGCTGAGTGGCCAACAAGCCCCAGGCATCTACGTGTCTCTGCCTCCCTGGTGCCGTGAGACCACAGAGGCATGCCGTTATGTCTGGCTTTTTCCTTGTGGGTTCTGGGTGTCACACTCAGGTCCTGTGGTGGCAAGGCAAGCATTTTAATGACAGAGCCCCTGAGACCCCTTCTTAAGGAGATCTGGGAAGCACTCCAGCAGAAACCCGGCCTGTCCTGTCGGTCCTCATGACCCGTGAGCTCTGGTGGAAGCTGCCCCAGGAAGTTTAGGTTCTGCTGCTGTGAATTTGTGGGCACAGTAATTCTAACACTATCTGGTACTACTCAAGAAGTACTACTATTCTAGTACTACTCAAGATGCCTTCATGAGTTTCTTTCTTTCAAAAACGGCTGGGGTCTCAAAGCAAGAAAGCATCTCAGGGGTGTGGACAGAGAAGCAGAGAGCCTGGCCTGACAAGCAGGGTTTCTAGCTGTTCCGAGTGGGACACCAGGGAGGAACACAGCCACAGGAGTGGTGCTGAGGACCCTCTCCTGACAAGTGTAGGGAGAGTGTGAGGTCACTGCCTGAGGGGTGACATTGCGTCACGTGGACCATCTCTCTTGCCTGTACTGCACCCTCTGCAGCTACCCTTGGGCTCCTTCCCAGCAATAATGGCAGCTCCCAGGCCAATGGCAGGGGTAAGGACGGACCTGCCTATTAGTTTGGTCTACCCCAAGGCTCCTCCCAATGTCCTTCCTCCTGGGACTGGGGGAATCCCTGTGAAAGAAAACACTCAGGGTGTCCACATAGGCGGCGGGAAAGGGGGAAGCCATCCCAACTGCTGACCCAGCAATTTTCCCAACTGCTGACCCAGCAATTTTCCCTACTGCTTCCCCAAACATCCTCAGGCTTCTTCACAGATGCGGTGTGCCGAGCGAAGGCCATTGCTCCTTAGCTGTAGGCTTCTCTATGGGTATGACGGGCAGGCAGGTAGCAGGGTGATGAGCAGAGTGGGTGGGGCCAGCTATAAGCTCCATTTAGCTTCACTAGCCTTTGAGATGTCAGACTTATTCCCTCAGGAATAACAGTCCCACCCGATTCTGTGCATGGGTCCCCAAAGGCCTTAGGGGGTCATCAACTGGGGAAAGGTCATGAGCACTATGAGAGGGAGGCCAGAGGGGCACTGAGGATGTGTTGCAGGCACTTCCAGAGGGATGTGCTGGTGAGTGAAGCCACTGTCTAGCCAAAGGGCTCCTAGTGACTCCTACATCACCATCCTGGACAAGGGGTGCAGGCTGGGCCTCACGAGGTCCTGGAACCCATCCCTGGTGGCCTCATTCATCAAAGTCAATAGCTGAGTGTTGCAGACATGGCCTTGAGGGACTGGACCCAGTGAAGGGCTCACAACTCAGGTTGCAGGGTCTCTCTGGCTAGATGCTGGACTCCCAGGGCTACCCAAGTTAGATGCTGGACTCCCAGGGCTAGCCAAGTTAGATGCTGGACTCCCAGGGCTAGCCAAGTTACACCATCCCTATTCCCCCTAAATTGTAACTCGCAAAAGTGGGGTCACAGATATGGAAAACATAAGTTTGCTTTGAGGTGTAGAGGGCCACACGGAGGACTTAGGCTCCGTCTCTTATGTGTATCTGTGTATGGGGTTGGGGGCAGTCAGTGAAGAACAGGAAGTAAAGCAGGAGGAAATGAAAAAGCGAGGTACCTGGAGACGAAACAAGGAAGTGAAGAAGGGGTGAGGGGAGAGAAGAAAGGGGAGATGGATAAAATGCAGTGGACAGACAGACGGAAAGAAAGACAGATGGAAAGAGAGTGAGGGGTGTGGACAAAGCCAGGTGGGGGAAGGGAGGGGACCACAGAGGAAGTGCAGCAAGCCAAGGGCACAGGCCAGACGCTGGAGCCGGGGTCACTGTGAGCCAGGCTGCTGAGGCCTGCGCTCCAACTTCCTGTCCTTGCGCTGGCGTCGATCCTTCCGGCTCTTCTGCCTGGGATTTCTCTCTGTAAGAGAGCACAGGTCCAGGGAGGTCCTGAGCGATGAGGGAACCCCAAGTACTCCCAGAAGGCTCTGAGTGATGGACTCAAAGTCACTCTGTTTTAAATTTGGGGCTGCAGGTGAACTATTCGGGACAGAATCCTCGGCGATTCCTGGGGGCCGAGAGGACTCTGACTTGAGGAGGGGGTGCGTAGAGTGGAGGCAGAGCTGGGTAACAGCCTGTGTAGACCGGAGGATTAGCACCTGTCAGGACTTAGGATGGCCTCACGGGGGTACCTCGTGCCTCTCCACACCTCACTGTTCCTAGGGCTCCCTGCTGGAGACACAGTCTCCACTGCACAGATCCCTGTCAATCCCCCAGCTGCTTCCAGCCAGGGGCTGTCCTCACTAGCAGCCCCACAGCCAGAGACCCTGAGACTCAGTTGCTGCGTGGTGCTGGTGGGACAGACCCAGACAGTGTGGAGAGTAAATCCACGCAATGGAAGCCAAAGCTACCATTTCTAGCCCATTTGACAGGAAGGGAAAGAGGTTGGCCTCAGCTGCTCCCTCAGTACAGTGGGCTGACTGCAAATCCCAGACCCAGGGCTCAGCTAGACCGCAGTGTGTCCCACCAACCCTGAAAGAATATGGCACATTTCTAATGTGAGCAATGGATTAGTCTCTCTTCTCAGACAAGGTGACTGAAGGCTGGCCAGAGGATAAACTTGCTCAGTGGCCTGGAGCTCCTGGGGCCAGTTCTGATCTCTTCAGAGAAGCTCATCTGGGCTGACTGGGTGACCAGTGGCCAGATGGCACAGGGTGTGGCAGAGACCCCAGCATGCTGTCTTTAGGAGAGCTGAGTGTCCCCTGCAGGGTCCTCTTTGCTCCTCACTGTGCCATTAGCCCTGCCTGCGCTTCCCTGTGGTGCTCCTCACTGCTTACAGGCCTTTGCCAGGATCTGCAGGCTCCCTGGGGCACTCATCCCACCTGAGGGCACTCCTCTGGTGACAGCGGGAAAGACTGAGGTGTCTGGGAGCCAGGCCAAGCCTAAATTTCCAGTTTAGACAGTGTCTCCCCACCCGAGCCATTTTCATATGCTCCTTGTCTCCCGGCAGTTTCCTGGGAAGCTGTGTGTCCTGGGAACTGATGACACTATTCAGGACACTGCTTTCCAAGGACACATAGCAGACAGGGAGAGACCTCAGGCTCTCACAGACAGGGAAAGAACTGCTTTTCCAGGGTTAGCTGCCCTCACAAAGAGCAAGGGCCTCAGCATCTCCATCTGCAGGGCAGACCCAGTGTCACCCCATAGACTAGGCTGCCTACTTGGGTCTCCCCACCAAATCTAAATCCTTGGAGACACCATGCAGGTCACAGGTAAGGGTGGAATCTCGGGACATAAAAGAGGGAGGTTCTTGTCCACTTTGAGGGCTGGGATTGGGAGGGATGATTGATTTTTCCCTCCTCCTTCCCCTATGCCAGCCAGCCTGCTGCCTATGCACACCCCCATTCACACATGCACCCCACACTCACCCATGCAGTCTCCACTCACCCATGCACCCTCCACTCACCCATGCACCCCCCACTCACCCATGCACCCCCCACTCACCCATGTACCTCCCACTCACCCATGCACCTCCCACTCACCATGCACCCCACACTCACCCATGCACCTCCCACTTCCACAAGCAGCCTTCCACTCACTCATGCACTCACAGAACTACCTAACTTACCCATCCACGACCCCTCTCACCCTTGTGTCCTCCAACCCATGCACCTACCCACCCACCCATCCATCTACTCAGCCACCTAACTCTCTAGTTACCCACCCACTCAACTTCTCACCTACCCATCCTCTTCTCATCACACAGCCACCTACCTAGCCATCACCCACCCATCCACCTATATTCCCTCCGCCCACGCACCTGCACCTACTCATCCCACACAGTCAGCATCTGGGGCCCGTTCCCGCATCAGAGACAGTCTGGACCTCCAGAGACTCACCACACAGGACTGCAGAAGGAGCAGGGCTTTTCCCTAGAGGTGTCAGTGCTATGATGTGACAGGATGATTCTGGAAGGCGAGCTCAGAAAAGATGAGTGGAAGAGGATCCTGGGCTGAGGTATATACGAGGAGGCCCTGCAGGCTTCTGGAAACTCAGACACTATGCATATGCCATTCACAGCAATCACCACAGAGTGTCTGCAGTCAACTATCATCACCTGAGAAAGAGCTTTCCTTGCGTTTTGGGTGTCTAGTCTCATCTAGGCCCACTCTCTGTCCCAACTGCCCACTGTGTATGTGTGGGTAGTGTTGGTGGTGAGGAGTCCCTGGCTTCAAATTCTGCCTCTTCAATGTCCCAACTATGTGTCCTGTGTCCTGGCTCCAGGACTTTCCCTGTTGACTATGACTTAGACTCTTCTTTGCTCCCTGATTAATGTTAGACCTCTAGATCTGCCTACTCCTGACTATCTGACCCTGGGGCAAGTGACTCAAGCTCCGTGGGCCTCCATCTTCTAAGATAGGATAATAACCACACCTAGATGATGGTGGATGTCCTTCTGTATGCTGTGAATATATGCTTCTCTTATTGGTTGATGAATAAAGCAGTTTTGGCTAATGGACAGGAAGGATTTATTCAGGCAGGAAATCTAAACATGGATAGGGAAAGGTAATAGGCAGAGTCAAGGAGATACCATGTAGCTGCCGAGGAAGCAAGAGGTCTGGGCATCACCAGTAAGCCAAGACACGTGAAGATAAACAGATGAATAGAAATGGGTTAATAATTGAGAGAGAGAGAGAGACAGAGAGAGAGAGAGAGAGAGAGAGAGAGAGAGAGAGAGAGAGAGAGAGAGAGAGAGAGAGCCAATAAGAAGCCCAAGCCATCGGCCAAACAGTTTATAATGAATATAAACCTCTGTGTGTTTATTTGGGACTAAACAGCTTCAGGACTGGGTGGGACAGAAACTTCATAGTCACTGTGCAGATCAAATGAGCCAGTGACTACAGAGAATCTAATACACCATGCTCTTGTCCTTAACATTGCTTTTTCACAGCCCTGTCTTCTGGGGTTCTTAGTGCTCTATTAGAAATCTGTGGGCTTACCTGCCCCAGTGAAGGGGCTCCTGTGGTATTTAGTGGGGGTTGTTATGGGCATAGCTTCCCATTCTACTGTTGCATAGTTGACAGCATTGATTCTTCAGGGCTGAGATCTCTGCACATGTGTGCCTAAGGTTTTAGAGTGTTTCACTCAACCCTGCATGCCTGGGACCTGTCTCCAACTGACCCCTGTAAGCTGGGTCAAGCACCTGCTTCTTAGCATCACTTCTCTCTGTATTATAGTATGGGTACGGCACCGCCATGCACCCGCAGCCCCCGCTTCCCAGGCTTTCCCAGGAACTCCACTAGAAACAGCAGACTGTTCCAAAGTCCTTACAGCATGCGGGGCGGGTTCTGGGTACTGAGAATCGCTCATCCTCCTGTATCTGGGGCCCTTCCTTGCAAGTACCCCACAGGGTTATACTTAGCTAACAGGAAGGGCTGGCAGGCAGAGTCTTTCAGGAGGCCTTGCAGATGCCATCTATTGGGGGGGGGTTCTCTGTCCATGGACACTAGAAATCACTCATGGGTTGTTTTCCAGTGCAGCCCTGTAGTTCTAGTACTCACCTCCTGGGCAGGGCCTCTTTATAGGACATTTCCTTGACTCAGATAACACTCGGCAGCTCGCTGTCTCCTCCTGCTTGGCTGGGCCAGCCTCCCGCACCCGGGTCTCGAGGCCCCAGCCTGAGCCACAGGTCTTCCCATTGTGTATGCAGGGGCTCCAGCTGCCCCAAGGGCTTGGCTCACATTCCTCTATGGGCGAAGGGAGAGACAGACAGGTGAGTCAGTTGGCAGTCTGTGCCTCTTGAATTCAAGGATCACGGGTCTGAGGATCTCTACCTACAAGGGACTCGGCCTATTGCTGGTAGCAGAGAACACACAGAAAGACTACTATTTGCAGGAGCCTGCAAAGAGCTCCATGAAGGCTGTGCTAGGAGCCAGATGGACTCCTGCCAGTGAAGAAGAAGGCTTCACAGAGGAGGTAACAAAACTTAATTAAGCCTCACTGACTAGCAGGATCTGAGAAGCCAAGTGGCTGGGATTCAGAAAGGTACAGGAACTGGGGACAGACACAGAGGTAGCTGGCTGCTTAAAGGTCCTCAGGATCAGGGTTCCAGCTTTTAACCTGATCATAAGCTTTTGATCATCTGTAGAGGTCAAAGCCACCCAGAGCTGTTGTGAGGGACAATGAAACAATGGACAGATAGTTCCCAGAAGAGAGGATTTTAGAGTCATTCCATTCATTTCTGAGCAGGAGGCAGCACCCAGCTCAGGGGACAGTGACTGTCCCTTCTTGCAGTCGTAGGTGCTGAGGCCTGGAGCAGGAACAGGTGTATACAGCAGGGTGGGAACAGGTAGCGATGCTGCCACCACCTGACAAGTTAAGACTGAGCACCTACTGTGAGACCCAGAGCTGCAGGTACAGAAGGTAACTGCACGGAAGAGACACCTGCCTGCCTCCCAGAATGCACTATGGGGAGATACTGCACCAGGAAGGCAGGGGCGTTTTGTGTAGTTCTGGAGGGCACAGAAGCTATAGGAGTCCAGACGAGGAATGGGCCACACCCTTGGGTCCGGGAAACCTTCTTGGAGGACACTGTGGTGTCTAGTGAGGTGTCTAGTGTGACTGTCTAGGAGGGTGGGAAGTCCCCAAGATGCTGACCCATGATAGGCAGGCCCAGATGGGAGCCTGATTTCCCAGGGCTCTGCCCAAGGCTAACAGGAGCCACAGAAAGGTCTTGAGTGGCAGAGCATTTTGTAGATAGCTGTCCTATATTTTCTGGCCATGGATGGGAATGCAGGCTCAGAGACATAGCCAGGAGGCCACACCAAAGAAGAAAGATGTTGGGAGGGACTGATGGGGTGGCCAGGGTCTCACTCACCCTGGCATTCCCGGGTACTCTGGTGGGTCAAGGTGCCTGGAGGACAGGTGGGCAGGCACTTCCCCTTGTATAGATGAAACCGCCTTTTGCACCGGATACAGAAGTCCTGGCTGAAACAGCTCTCGCATGTGGCCCCACATTCTGCAACAGAGCCAGGGACACCATAAGTCATGGGTCTGCCTGGGTGTGTGTGTGGGTTCTCTGTGTAGGTCCCTGGAGTCGGGATACAGTATCTCATCAGCAGCGCAGACTTGGAGATTGTTGAGCTGGGCTGCATATGAGGAGGCCTTCTTTTCTCATCCAAGCTGAGGTTGAGCACGGGAAGCGATAGCTAGACGACACATAGCTAATCTGGGCCGGGAGTGAAGCTCCCCCACCCTTTGCCCACAGGACTCAGAGATCAGTAGTGATTTGTCCTAGGTCACAGCGAAAATGGAGGAAAGGTCAGGACTACTCTTCCTACTGGAGCTAGACCCAGAGGAGGTGAGCAACCTGCTGGAGGCCATGCAGATCCCAGGGAGAAGCAGAGGTTCCTGGCCATGTTTGTGCCGAGACCTGCTGGAGTCCTCTAAGAGCTGATGGAATCAGGGAGGAGACTACCTGTCCCAGAGCTGCAGGACAGGCTAAAGCCAGGAGGCTTGGGTAAGTTTGGGAGAGAGGGTAGGATACAAGGTAGCTTGCCTACAACATGGGAGGAGACACGTACTCTTGCACCTGTTGGCCTCCTGGCCACGGATTCCAAAGAAGCCGAGGGGACAGTCGTGCACACACTTGCCATACTGGCGGATACCTTCCCGGCGGATGAACAGGAAGAGCCTCTGCTGGCAGGTGGAGCAGCCGTTCTCCTCCGAGCAGATGACACAGCCCGTGCAGTTTCCCCCCAGACCAGCGCCTGCTGCAGCCAGACCGGTGCGAGAAAGACAGTCAAATCACACATGTGAGCTACTTAGATGGACTCATTGGGCTATTGGCTGAATACAATAGAAGACTATGTTTCCAGGCATCTCCAACTACCTGACTGCTGGTGATCATGTGTTCAAAATCTGGCCAATGGGACATAGAAGTAGGCGTTTATAGACTGCTGATATGACAGAAATCAATATCTACTTTTTTCAGATACTGTTACCTGGACTTCTCTATTATAGCACATTTACTCTTTACTAAGTAGTAGTACTCTGTGTGTGTGTGTGTGTGTGTGTGTGTGTGTGTGCGCGCGCATGCACGGGGTGAGACATCACCTTATTTCTCAGTTTCTGAGCAATACTCCAGTTCCCATTGTCACCATCACAAAAGCCATCACCCCTCGGTTCAGGTGGTCAAGGGGAGGAAGGAGGAGCGTGGCTGTAAGGCTGGGGCGAAGGGGAGCAGTACTCTGGAGCGGAGTCAGATGCTCCATGCCAAGGCTCGCAGGGAGATCTTTGCCAAACTGGGTGGGGTGTTAGCCTTCATGCCCCAGCCCTGCAACCGTCCTTTCTTGTTCCTCTCTGAGTAGTGGAGCTAGGAAAAGCGGGGCAGAGAGTGGCAGCAGGAAGTCCATCAGATTTCGTTACAAGCATGAGGGGCTTGCAGTGAGGGAACCCATGGAGGAGCCAGGCCATGGGGTCTGGTTCCGTCTTGCAGAGGCAGGTAGGTTCCCAGAAGAGAGGGAACAGTGGAGACAACTGGAGAGGGTTGGGATTTGAGCAGCAGTCACTAAGAAAGGATGTGGAAGCTGCCCAGAGAGCATGCATCGCTCTGCTTTTACACGTCATTAAGCTGGGACACTGAATAAGCTGGTTACCCACCCTGGCTGACCTGAGCCCGCGGGGTCTCAGAAGAGGACATTCTTGGCTCTCCAGTTCCCAGTCCTTCTGTTCCATCAGCGTGTATCTTCCCCGCTGAGGCAGGGTGTATGTGAGGTGCCAGGATCTCCCTAGAGTGGAAACCAGGGGCCACCCCTCCTCCTGTCAGCAGAGGGCAGTCCTTGCAAAGCCTGGAAGGTATCTCACGCCTGGTACACGGTGCAGAACATGTGGGAACATCCGTAGTCTCTGCTTAGACTGGCTGGGTTTCTGTCACTCTCTCCTATCTCCCAGAAATCCGAGAGTCCTCCCCTTCATCGCCCAATTTCTGTTGCCTATACCCTCGGAGCTGACTGATGTGGGTGGCCCTCACAGGGTCACGCTGGAGCAGATGCGTACCCTGTGACACACCCTGGGTACTGGGCAAAAGGGCCAATGTCCCTGGTGCGGGTGCCCCAGGAAAAGACTATGCAGAAGTGGGACGGAAGAGCAAGGACATGGGGTTTCCAAAGTTGCAGGCAGCTGGCAGCCAAAAATAAATGTAAAGCCACAAGAGGGCCCCATCGGGAGAGAGCCACACCACCGGGAGAGAGCCACACCACCAGACCCAGAGGGAGCTGGGCTCCCTCACTCATTCAGCAACACCTGCTCCAGTTGGATGGCACCAAGGGCAGACAGGAAGGAAAGGAAACTTATTTCTTTTTCTGACATTTCTTTCTTTCTTAAGATTTATTTATTGTGTATACAGTATTCTGTCTGAATGCATCCCCACAGGCCAGAGAGGGCACCAGATCTCATTACAGATGGTTATGAGCCACCATGTGGTTGCTGGGAATTGAACTCAGGACCTCTGGAAGAACAGTCAGTGCTCTTAACCTCTGAGTCATCTCTCCAGCCCTGAAAGAAACTTCTTTTGCTGGAGAAAAATCCAACAGCATCCAGTAAATCTGAAGACAAGTCTTCCCACACACAGTAGTTTGGCATCATCTGACCTCCCCCTCTAGAACGGCTGTGTGACTGGCTACTTCCCTGTTGATGTTGAGTTGGGGGAGAGAAAATATGGGATCCTGAGAAGGGAAGGGAACTCCTCGCTCTGTAGTCTGGCTGCAGACTCACCAGCCGAGGAACATTAATCTCAATATAATCACCGGCATCTACTCCAGGCCTTCTCTCCTTCCAGCTGGAAACCTGAGATTTTCTAGAACCTCCCTGAGCAACTCCAGTGGCTTGTGGTTTTATTTTATCAGACTGTAATTCCACTTAAGACACCCCAGAATCTCAGTGTTCAAAAAAGGGACTAGACATAGGGTCAGGTACCTTATGAACCCATTTAGCAGGGACTAGGGAGATGACTTAAGGGACAGGTACACTAGCAAGTGCTTGATGACAGTATCAAAGCAAGAGGACCTGAATTTAAATCCTCAGAACCCACACAAAGGTCAGGACCAGCCAAGGAACTGCAGCATTGAGGGGTGGGGACAGGCAGATCCCAGGGGCCTGATGGGCATCCAGTCTAGCCAATGGTGAGCTCCAGGTTTAGTGAGAGGCCCTGTCTTGAAAAGACAAAATGAAAGGTAACAGGGGAAAATACTAGATGTCTTCTTCTGTCCTCTGAATGGATGTGCATCACACACACACACACACACACACAAGCACGCACGCACGTGCACACACACATACACACGAGACAGAGAGAGAGAGAGAGAGAGAGAGAGAGAGAGAGAGTGCACAATATGAATTTTCTAAAGCTCTCAAAGCCCTTTACACTGTCACCACTAGGACACTTCAGTGTGACTCTTCTTTTAGAAGCACCCCACCTCACAGAGCTCTTGGGTGTGTCATATCTTTCCCTAAGCACTTTTCTATTTTTAAACTAACTCCACCCCTACTTCATGCTAGATTGTCCTGAAATGCTTTTCCGTGTTGAAGTCAAGGGTTTTGGTTTCATCAGAGTTGAGATTAAGGGGGCTTCTCAGGCCCCAAGGATGGTTTAGGGAGCCGTTCCTCCATCCCTCAAAGCTACAGGGACAACTGTAATGAGGAGAGGTTTATTTGAGCCCAGAGTTTGAAAGCAGTTCCACCCCTGACGGCAGAGAAGTCACGGTGAAGCAGAGCAAGCAGTTCACGGCTGAGAGCATGTGATCAAGACTGTTCACGTCACAGTGCGTCAGGAAGCACTGAGTGAGAGAGGAGGTTGGGCTGGGAAACATTTCCAAAGGCTACCTTTAGTGACAGACTTCTACCAGGCAACCCCCACCTCCTAACAGTTCCAGTCTCTCAAAATAGTTTCCAGGGCTATGGAGCAGCATTCAAAACCCCAAGCTGGGAGAGCCATTTTCAGATCTAAATCATTACAGGGGGTCTAGGGTAAGGCTTGAGAATCTACCAGGTATTCTGTCACTGCCGGTCACAGACTCACTTGGGAAACCACAAAACTAAGAAACTTTTGCATATCTGTGCCGGGAGACCCTGACAGAGAGGCTTACTGTGGCCCAGCTTAATAACACACAGTCACAAAAGCAAACCCACTCTGGGAAGAACAGATAAATACGTGGTGGTGTAGTCATATGCCATAGTCGAACACCACACACAGCGCGGCCATGATAAACGGCTGAGGCAGAGTCGGTTTTCATTGCGGATGCAGCTCAAAGCCAATGCTGAGAAGAAAGAGTGAGTTGTGTGATGAGTCATGTAGAAGTCACCATCTGCATCAAGTTCAACAGAGAACCATGATTTGTAGCATTGCTTATGTGTGAGGTATCTGGAGAACTACAGACATATAAGGGTACATGCACACTTATATGTAGCATTGCCTATGCGTGAGGTATCTGGAGAATGATAGGCATATAAGGATGTATTCACACTTAATTCAGTATGGGGGCACTTCTGGGGCAGGGGTGGGAGAGGGGTTGTGAAAGAAGATTTGAGATCTCATTCATATTTATCAAATTTGGTGCAAACGTGAACATGGAAAGATTTGGTCAAAATGGTTGATGAGGGTGGGTGGGTGGCAAGATGGCTCAGTCAGTAAAGCACTGCCAAGAAAGCATGAGAACCCACGTTCTGACTCCAGCACCCACACAAATCACAGTCAGTGTATAGCGTGGCTGTAATTCCAGGGACGCAGAGGCAGGTGGATTCCCTGCAGCTGGCTAGCCAGCCAGCCAGTCCAGCCAAATTATAGAGCTCTGGGTTCAGGAAGAGACCCTCATCAAAGCACACACACACACACACACACACACACACACATCCCGTTGACCTCTGGCTGCCACAGGTTCACACACACATGTGCCTATAACACAAACATGCATATACACACTGGAATATTTATTACATTAGTTTTTATTTTTTAGTATAGATTTGAAATAGTTCACCACAAAAATCCATTCAAAGAAAAATAAATTTAGCTTCTCTGATGTACGGGAGAAGGGGAGGACTACATGGTTATTTTGTGTGTATCAGCATTTTGTCTGCATGTATGTTTGTGCACCACGTGTATGCCTTGGGCCCACTGAAGTCAGACGAGGAGACATCAGGTTCCCTGGGACTGGAGTTAGCAGACTGTTGTGAGCATGCCACATGGGTTCTGGCAATTGAACCAGAGTCCCCTAAAAGAGCAGCCAATGATCTTAATCACGGAGCCATCTCTCTAGTCCCATAAACATATACCCTTTATTCCTTATTCCCCCTTTCTTCCAGATCACCTCCCTAAGTCTCGCTCTGCCCTCAAATTTAGGTCATAGGTAGGGAAGGGAACAGATTCTGGAGGAGAGTTTGGGAGCAGGGGAGACCCCGCCTCAGGCTCTCTGCTCGTCACCGCCCACATTCACTCTCCTTGCCTTCAGGAAGGGACCCCAGAGTTTTAGCAGGATTTGTCTAAGAAAGTACATTGCCCAGGCCCTCTTGCACTGTTAAAAGTCATGTGTCTAACCCTGGTCAGTGAGCTGGGAGTGGGCATGTCATGGGCCATGCCAAGGAAGGGCCCACACCACCCTTCCCTCCTCTGTCTTCCCTCTGTTAGGTTTCAGTTTTGATACCAGGAGCCTTGGCTGCTCCTGGTGGCAGAGGAATTTTGAGAAAGGCACTGGTTCAGTCACCACATGAACCCAGGGCT